GTTCCACCATGAGACTCTGGCCCCAAATCTTTGGTACATGCTTAGCCTCCAGCCTGCCAGATTGTAGCCTTCTTCCTCTTCCTTTTCTGTCTCTTCTTGCCTCTCCCCACCACCCCCACCCAGAAAATAAAAAACAAAACCAAAAACCTCTTAAGGACAGCCTCCGTTTCCATAGCTTCATGTCTGTGTTCAGAATTCTTTGTAGACTTCTGTGGATGTGGCCTTATGCTTAATTAAAAACATTCTGGAGGCGCCAGGGTGACTCAGTTGGTTAAGCGTCCGACTCTTGGTTTTGGCTCAGGTTGTGATCTCAGGGTCCTGGGATCGAGCCCTGTGCCTGGCTCCACATGCAGTGTGGAGTTTGCTTGGGATTTCTTCTCCCCTCTCCCTCTGCCCTCCCCCCGCTCTCTCTCTCTCTCTCTCTCAAATAGATAAATATTTTTAAAAAAATGCTCTTTAAAATAAATAAATACATTCTGAAAGGGCCACTCAAGATCCAACTCCTCCCACCTCTCAAAGCTTTGCTCCCTTCCCCCTCCTCCATGAAGCTTTCTAAAACCACCTAATTTGGCAACAAACTAGGTAGAATGGGTTTCCCTGTGCTGGACATGGGAGACCAGGTAGATTGGACGTAGCGCCTGCCCTCGAAGAGCTCACAGAGGGAAGGGGCAGAGAGCGGTGGACTGAGTAGTACACACAGGCTGTGCCCTGCGTTTATCGGAGTGCTGGGGGACCCAGCTGGCTTCTGGGATTCTAGAAACAGGGGTTTATTCTTTTATAACTTGCTCACAGCTTTTCTGGGCCTCAGTTAATTTGGTTCCGAGCTCGATAGTTGGTTTCCAAACTCTACTCTGTGGACCCACACCTATGCTGCTGCTGGTTGGGTGCAGGGGATGCTGGCAGGGGGGATGTGGAATGTGCGTGGGTTCTGGATCTCCTGTTCCCAACTTCGGCCAGATGAACTCCACCTTTAACTGTGTCCTTTGCCTTACACAGCCAATTTCATTTGAACAGTGTTTGCTTGACTTTTTTTTTTTTTAAAGATTTTATTTATTTCTTTGAGACAGAGAAAGAGAGTGAGAGAGCACGAGCAGAGGTGGAGGAGGAGGGAGGGAGAAGCAGACTCCCCTCTGAACAGGGAGCCTGACGCGGGGCTCCATCCCAGGACCCGGAGATCATGACCTGAGCCCAAGGCAGACTTTTAACCAACTGAGCCACCAAAGTGCCCCAGTGTTTGCATGACTTTTAAGGTTTGAAAGCCACTAAACTAGATGACCAAGGTAACCATGCTCATGGCACTCTGGACTCGTACAGTCTCCACGAAATGGGTTTTGTTGCCATATATACGTAGAAAAGACCCCTGGACATATCAGGCTATTGACAACTCACAGTACTTGAGTATGCTAACAGGTACACTGGCAGATGTTTGATAATGTCTCTCTGGGGGACAGGATGGGGAAGCCCAAAGTTGTAGTGTTTGCTGATCTCCATGGTGTAAATTCTCCCAACACAGTCAACTTTAAGTTATCAGTATGAAGTCAGCTGCAGAGCTGGGGAGAGATGCACTTAAGAGGCTCCAGAGCTGGCTTTGGCACATCATTGGTTACAAAGTACCAGTTGATGACCTCACTGTCTTCCCTTTTGGGGTTTAGAACCAACTGAGATACAGACTCAGGAGACAGATGGAGGCTAAGGTGTTAGTCTTATTATGATCAGAGCTAGTCAGACATGGTAGGTTGCGTTATTGTTAGGATACCTGCCTGCTCTTATTCTGCAGGAGGCATATTCTTCCCTCTTCCATTGATTTGGGGCTCAGTCATGTGACTTGCTTCCTGTTCCAAGCCAAGACCTTAAGAGGCCTCCTACGTTTTTGCTTGCCCTTGGGTACTTGTGCCTTAGCCAGTAGATGTCCGAGCAAGGCTCTGGTTCCAGGGGAGGGGGCCCAAGAGTGGAGCTGAGCTGCATCAGTGAGCTCAGCCGAGGTAAGTCCCCCTGGGCTGATGCGCAGACTTCTGAGCGAAGTGACTGCTTGTTTTATGCTTCGGGGCTTTTGTGGGTTTTGTTAGACAGCATTTTTGGGCCATGGTTAGCTTATTCAGAAATTGGTACGTAAATGGGAGAGTGCTGTAGCCAAGTCCAAAAATATGCAGCGTAGGTTTGGAACTGGACAGTGCAGAAATTTAGAAGAGGTTGGAAAAATGGCCAGAAAAATGGTGACCTGGGTGCCATGTGGTGAAGAGATATTTGGTAAGATTACTGCCTATGCTAGTTTGGGAGGGAGAAAACGTTCCTATGAATTTGTGGAATTTGGCAGGCTGGTTCCAGGCAGAAGATTGTAAACATGAGCTTTTTTGAGCTGTAAATGATAAGGTACTACAAGTGAAAGATGGGTTCAGAAAGGAACGGGCCAGTTTAAAGCAGGATTTGGAAAATGAAGTTATTTCTCATCTACAGTCTCTCCAGCCACTAAGAGACCTTCAGCTTCAGATTTGGCTTGGGGGTGGGGGCAGATACAGAATCCTGGCAGTTCCAGTGAAGGACAGCCTCAGAGTAAAGACAAAGTCAAGGATGTGCCCTTGATTCTAATGCTCTTTGTTTTTACGGTCCTGGAAAGGAATAAGGTGGTTCTAGAATAGACTTTCAGTCAGGGCATGGCCCCACATAGTATGGTGTGAGGTCCCAGTCACCAAACATAGGACAAGGCGTGTCACTGAAGGGACGTGGGTGAGGCTTTTGGCACAGAGTGGACTGGAATCAAATATGCAGAAAACCCACAACGTTTGAGAGAGCTGAGTGGGCAAATGCATGGCCTAAAGGGGATGGAAGGGGCTGGAAACATAAAGGACTGCAGGCTCCTAACTTCCGGCAGGCAGAAAGAGGTTGAAGAGTTACTGCGCTCTCACGGAAGGCGTGTTTCCCAATGCCCTCTCCAGAAGCTGAAGGGTTGAGTCAAAGGGAAGATCGCCCCAATGGAGGAAGCCAGAGCCATGGAGCACAATGGACTGGGGAGCCATTCAAGGAAATTCCACTTGCTCAGCAGGGTTTCAGATACAGTGGCCCAATGACCCAGATGGGAGTGGTAATCGCAGGGAATCGAGCTCTGTGCCACTGCTGTATGTTGTGAGTGCACATGCGCATGGTGGGCTGAGAGCTTCTTTCTAGTTCCTAAGTCTCTGGGTCAAGAAGAGCTCCATCCACAACAGGTGTAGATCACAAGATCCTTGGCTTTGAGCCTGACAATTGAGTGCACAGACTTCTGGGGGGTCTGGGGTGAGTATATTCTACATGTGGGAGGGACACGCATCGAAGTCTTTATGAGGGCAGACTGTGGTGGATTATATATTGTTGAGAAATATTTACTCTCTCCCTCTGCCTTCCATAGGAGGAAAGCACTTTCCGACGTCAGCGATGATGGGTTTGGCCACGTGAGTTGCTTTGGCCAGAAGAATGAGGTGTTTCATGTTTTGAGTGGAGGCCTCAAGAGGACCCATTTTTCTGCTTTTTTCTCTTGTGCTTGAGCTGTCGCCATGAGAAGGCAATGGCCAGGCCAGCGTCCTGGCCGTAGGAGCAAGAGGAGAGTCACTGCTCCAGCCAAGCTGACCGGATTAGCGGCCCCCAGAGATGCCCCGCCCAGCCCAACCTGGATCAGCCAACCCTCAGTTGGCCCAGATTCAGAAGTTCAGTAGAGGTTTATCGTGCTGAAGCTTTGTGGATATCGGTATGCAGCACGACCGTGGCCGTGGTTAGCTGATGGGGGCATGGGGCCAGGATGGGCTTCTTAATACTGTGACTCATCAAGTCTCAGGGAGCACTGAAAAATTTGTGGCCTCCCTCTGCCCCCAAAGCAGGGCACAGCTGCTTCCAGAGACTTAACACGTGGTGAGGCAGAGGCGGAACGAGGCCTGAAGATAAGCTTTGAAGGAGGCAGACATAGGGCGCCGGCAGCCAGGCTCGGTTCCTCCTCCTGAGGGTGCCATCAGCTAAGTGAGTCTTCCTCACTGAGGCGTGAGGCCCCGGAGTGTGACCCCAGCTGTAGCCTTTCCAGCGGGAAACTATGGCCAGACACACAGGGAAGAATTTGGGGTGCCCTGCAGAAAGGAAGCCTGCTAAATTCTATTTTCCTTGGAGGTTTCTTACCTTCCTCAGTCCGCTTGGTCACATGCTGCAGAGCCGAATGCCTTCTCCATGGCTTTGGCCCCGGACACTCTGAGGCAGGTGCCAAGGTTTTTCTCATGGAGAGGAGGGGGTTCAGGGGCCCAGTGTGCCCAGCCCTACAGAAGGGGCTTCTACCCCCTCCAACACAGTCTTAGGCCCTCCCCTCTGTTCTCCTGTCCCAGAAACCATCTCAGTCTGCGTGTCCTACTCACTGGCCCCCTGAGGTTCCGTGTAGTGGCCTGATCACTGCTAATGGCTGGCTGCTGGCTTGCTAGACCTGGGCCCTCCCTGTCTACCTGCCAGGGCCACCTCCTAGGGCTCAGAGTTACAGCTTGTGGCCGCTCCCTGTGGGCCCCTCCGCCCCAGGCTGGCTGCTGGGGATCAGGCAGCTCCATCCGTCTGTCCTTTCTCCTTTTGCCAGCACCAGAGCACAGGGGTCTATCTTCTCCCCTGACCTCCACCCTGACTTAAGAGTGCTCATCAAATTACCCATCAAGGAGGGAATCTTGACCCGAGGATTGCTTTGGGACGAGTGCTTGGGAATATACCTGGGTCCGGTACACAACGTTCTCGACAAACCAACTTAGATGTTCAGGTCAGCTCGCTGGGAACAACAGCCGGATGTTCACTGTAAATCATCAAACCCTGCCCGCCCCTCACCCCCAGAGACAACAAACAAACAGCCAGTAAATGCCTCAGCATTAAACATTTTCCGGCGAAGGCGGGACAGTCAATTTTGACACTGTTGTGAAAAAATACAGCCTAGTTTCTGTTCAAATGCACCAAATTTACTGCTCAGGTTCTCATTAACTACTGTCAAGGAGGAAACAGATAGACAAAATAAATTATGAAAAAATTACTTTTTTAATGTACAAAAAGACTTATTTACAAGTTGAGTGTGTCATCTCAATTCATAGCATGTAGAAAAAGCTAAATATTTTGCAGATATAAATGTGGCTGGCTGATTCACCTACAGTATTTTCAGGAATGACGCCTTCTGTACATACTATACACAGGCTGGGAACGGCTAGCGAAATCCTAGCGCAGGGAGCGAATGAACACCGCCACGGAGCCCAGACCCTCGGAGGCGTCCCAGGGCTGTTATCTGGCCTTGGCTTTGTCTTTGGACCCTAACAAAGCATCTGATGTTCTGGGATGCGGAGGGCCCAGGTAAGGTTTTGGCCCTGTCCTGGTTGAGGCCAGGGTCACAGTATCAGGCTCATCGTGGTGCGGTTGGTTTTGGCAAGGTCGCCACAAATTCAGCGCTGGGAACGTGTGCGGTGTGAGTACATGTGTGTGGTGGGAAGGAGGCTTCAAGTCACCCGACAGTACGTTCAGGAGCGATGTCTTCTGATGCCAGTTCCAAATTCCATTTCCAGGTGGGGCTGGGTCACACCGAATAGGAAAATTCAGTGACGGTCCCTCAGAGTCCCAAGAATCAACCCCGTCACCCTCCACCCCCACCAAAAACACCATGCAGGTCATCGTACTTTGCAGAATGAGCAGGAGCACCGAGGGAAGGGAATCCAGAAGGTCCCGGGACTGCATGCTGTGTCTCGGCCCAGACCACTGGACTGCGGGTGAGCAGACCGCACAGCCCGGGGGAGCCCGGGAAGAGGCTGCTGTCAAGTCCTGGGCTTTTCCATGGTAAAGTGGGTGGACAGTGCACTGGAGAAACACGATTGGGTAAACATATGACTTCCTCTTCTTACGGGCGGTCTCCAGGGTGGCCTGAGGCTGGGTCCCTGGTGCTCTCCCAATTTCTCGAGGCCCCGTGCCAGGCTTTGGCTCACCTGGGTCCATCCCTAACCCACAGCAGCTTCCAGCAGCCCCGAGGTATTTAGAAGTTAAGTGTTCTTTCCAGGAAGGGCTACATTCGACATGCATGAGCACTGTAAACACGGTCTGGAGAAGTCAGGGCAGCTTCTGGGCTTGCCCCAAGGACTACAGTTTTTCTTTTCTTCTCTGGCAATCCTTCCATACTTTATCCATTCGTATGCACTTGGACAGCCTGCCAGTGGCAAACTCGGCTTTGTGGGGGCAGACGTGCCGGCGCTACCAAACCTGGAATCAGGATGTGCTTCCAAATAATCCAGGTAAAAATCTTTTTTCTTCCTCTGCAGCACGGGGAATGTTAGAGGCCTCAAGAAGTAAGCTTCATAGAATTCTTTTACCTCGTAGGTAGGGCAATGAGAAGCTTATCTTCCTGGATTAGAATATCCAGTACGGCTTTCAGATTCAAACCCAAATGTGGTTCCCTCTACCTTCTTTCCCCTTGGCCAACGGGATCCCTCATTAGCCAAATGACAGAGGCGAAGACGCTAGAACAATTTGGTCCTATAAACGCCAAAGCCTGGGAAGCACTGTGCAAACGAGTTTTTCATTTCTACCTTGCCTTTCCCATTGAGACTTTTCTCACTGTTCCGAAAAATAACCCAAAAGAAGACCAGGCAGGATGTACACAAACCTGCCCTTAAAGCATCTGTGGTCTGAATCGGCCACTGGCAACACTCCCTCAGACCTAGTTAATACTTTTTTGGAAAAAGACAAAATTGACGGAAGCCCCACGCTCTGGGAAATGATGCCTCCTGCGAGTCCACTGAGCGCCAGGAGCTGGGGCCTTAGGTCATCATGTTCAGGAACTTGCTCTCCTCGGCCAGGCTGGTGAGCATGGAGCTCATGTCCCCAACAGCCATGTTGCTGATGCCCGTGGGGATGGAGGGCAAAGTCAGGGAGTTCCGGGGGGTGGTGAGGCAGGAGGAGCTCTGGGAGAGGCTGTGGAGGAGGCTGGGACTCAGGGCACCCGAGAGCAGGCTCGAGTGATCGCCATCATCCATGATGGCATCGAAATCTATCTGGGGGGCCTCCAGGAGCTGGGAGTCCACAGTGCTGGACACCTGGTTGACGCCGGGCGAGGGCAAGGGCTGGGGCTGGATGCTGTCTGGGCAGGCCTGTGGCTGCGGTGGCTGGGGCCGCATGACCTGGCAGCCCACGTGGTTCTCCAGGCCTCCGTCCTGTTCGTACATGTGGATCTGGCCGTAGTAGTAGAGCATGCTGTGGTCCTGGGCCCCGGCCGTGTCCTGTGGGGGTGGCTGAGGAGGCCGGGACCCCATGCTGCCCATTGCTCCTTTGGGCCCATCTGCCATCTCCTGGTTGGCCGACACAGCAGCCATGGCGTGGCCGGTGGCCCTGGCATAGGCCAGCTGCAGCCCAGCCCGCACCCCACGGTGGCAGCCAGCAGGGCTGGGCTCAGGGGGTGGCCGGGGTTGCACTAGGCCAAAGCTGGATCCAGCCACCCCCACGGCGCCCTGCTGGGGCTCCATGAAGCTGGGTTGCTGGGAAGGCAGAAGGTTGGGGCCCTGGCGGTAGCCCTCCTGGCTCATGGGGGTCGCCAGGTAATGGCTCTGCTGTGGGTAGCTCTGGGTCGAGTGAAGGGATGGCATCCCGGCCAGGGAGGAATTGGGGATTCCGAGTTCCCTGCAGTTGCCTCCCATCATGGTGGCTTCGGGAGCAACTTCCATTTGCTGGGGGAGCCCCAGGTGGACTGGCTTGACTGCCATGTTGCTGCAGGATGGGGGGTACTGGTTCAGGGCCCCCCCCATGGTACTGGGGCTCAGCTGGGGGTGGGCTTGCCCATAGTTGGTGTGGGGGCTCCCGGTGGTCGTCATACTGGGACACTGCCCACCTGTCCCGGGCTGCCGCAGCTGCTGCATATAATTTATCCGAGGCACGGAGGAGCCGCCCCCGCAGGGCTGAAAGTGTGCCTGCTGGGCGGTGTCCAGGGCCCCCGGGCTCAGCGGCAGACCTTGCGGACTATAGCCTGGGTACTGGCCGAAGGCCGGCTTCTGCTGCGCCACAGCCAGGTTGCCCTGCGGAAAGGGCGAAGGCTTCCCCTGGCTGGCCAGGGTGTCCATGGTGCCGGAGCTCACCTCATTCCACTGCACCGGCATGCTGTTTTTGTTCAGGCTGGGGGGAGCCGCGTAGCCCAGCTGGCAGCCTCCCAGCACCGCGGCGGCGGGGCCCACGTTGGAGTCCGCGGCCACCATCCTGCGCTGGCCGTGCAGCCCCGGGCTGGGCAGTTTGGGGTTCTCAGAGAAGCAGGTGCTTTCCGGGGGATAGGCCTGCGGGGGGCTGTCGTCCAGGGTCCCGCCGGCGTGCGCCTTGATGTACTGCACCACGTCGTCGGGCAGCACGAAGTCGTCGTCGGGCAGCACGAGGCCGATCTCGGGCTCCGCGCCGTCCGCCCCCGCCGCCAAGGCCTCCATGGCCACGTGCTCGCTGATGCTGGGCGGCC